GGAATGAGTACAATCTAAATCCCTTAACGAAGATCCATTGAAGGGCAAGTCTGGTGCTAGCAACCACGGTAATTCTAGCTCCAATAACGTATATTTAAGTTGTTGCAGTTAAAAAGCTCGTAGTTGGAACTAGGGTTGGGTCATCCGATCCGTCTCATTGTGAGCACCGATCTACTCGTCCCTACTGTCGGTGATGCGCTCCTGGACTTAATTGCCTGGGTCGTTCCTCTGGCACTGTTACTTTGAAGAAATTAGAGTGCTCAAAGCAGGCCTATGCTTGTATACATTAGTATGGGATAACATCATAGGATTTCGGTCCTATTGTGCTGGCCTTCGGGATCGGAGTAATGATTAATAGGGACAGCCAGAGGCATTCATATTTCATAGTCAGAGGTGAAATTCTTGGATTTATGAAAGATGAACAACTACAAAAGCATTTGCCAAGGATGTTTTCATTAATCAAGAATGAAAGTTGGGGGCTCAAAGACGATCAGATACTGTCCTAGTCTCAACCATAAACGATGTCGACTAGGGATCGGTGGATGTTACTTTTAGGACTCCGTCGGCACTTTATGAGAAATCAAAGTCTTTGGGTTCCGGGGGGAGTATGGTCGCAAGGCTAAAACTTAAAGGAATTGACGGAAGGGCACCACTAGGAGTGGAGCCTGTGACTTAATTTGACTCAACACGGGGAAACTTACTAGGTCCAGACATAGTAAGGATTGACAGACTGAGAGCTCTTTCTTGATTCTATGGGTGGTGGTGCATGGCCATTCTTAGTTGATAGAGCGATTTGTCTGGTTAATTCCATTAACGAATGAGACCTCAGCCTGCTAACTAGCTACGCGGAGGTGATCCTTCATGGCTAGCTTCTTAAAGAGACTATGGTCGCTTAGGCCAAGAAAGTTTGAGGCAATAGCAGGTCTGTGATGCCCTTAGATGTTTTGGGCAGCACGTGCGCTACACTGATGTATTCAACGAGTCTATAGCCTTGATCGACAGGCCCGGGTAATCTTTGAAATTTCATCGTGATGGGGATAGATCATTGCAATTGTTGGTCTTCAATGAGGAATTCCTAGTTAGCACGAGTCATCAGCTCACATTGACTACATCCCTGCCCTTTGTACACACCGCCCATCGCTCCTACCGATTGAATGGTCCGATGAAGTGTTCAGATCGCGACGACGTGGATGGTCCGCTGTTGCGACGTCACGAGAAGTCCACTGAACCTTATCATTTAGAGGAAGGAGAAGTCGTAAGAAGGTTTCCGTAGGTGAACCTACGAAAGGATCATTGTCGAAACCCTGCTCGACGGATGACCCGAGAACGCGTTAACAAAACACCGAGGGGGCGAGGGTGCCCTAGTGCCCTGAGCCCCCTCTGACCCCGAGCGGGCGCGACGATCGCTCCATCCCCCCTACGAGGCCGTTGAAACGATCAACTTCATCTCACCCGCCGCCAAGCAATGAACCCCCGGCGTGAATCGCATGAAAAAACCGAAATGAAAATGGATTGCGCGCATCGTTGCCATCCCGTTCGTGGTGCGTGCACGGACGACGCCGTGACTCTTTTTGTCATAAAAAATGAAACGACTCTCAGCAACGGATATCTTGGCTCTCGCATTGATGAAGAACGTAGCGAAATGTGATACTTGGTGTGGAATGCAGAATCCCGTGAACCATCGAATCTTTGAACACAAGTTGCACCCCAAGCCATTAGGTCGAGGGCATGCCTGCCTGGGTGTCATGCACCATCGCCCCCCTCTGAGCCTCCGCCCGTCGGGCTCTGAGGGAAGGGGGCGGGCGAAAGACGGCTTCCCGCGATCTTGTGGGTCACAGTTGGCCCAAAAATGAGTCCCCAACAATGATTGTGCCGTGACCGTTAGTGGTAGAGCTCCCGGCATGCCTCGTCCCCGGTGACGTGTGCTCGTTGTCCACCCAGACCCCGTTGAACCCCCCGCATCGCTCGATCGATGCTCGCATCGCGACCCCAGGTCAAGCGGGATCACCCGCTGAGTTTAAGCATATCAATAAGCGAAGGAAAAGAAACTTACCAAGATTCCCCTAGTAACGACGAGCGAACTGAGAAGAGCCCAGCTTGAGAATTGGGCACCCTCGACATCTGAATTATAGTCTGGAGAAGCGTCTTCAGCGACAGACCGGGCCCAAGTCCCCTAGAAAGGGGCACCGAAGAGGGTGAGAGCCCCATTGTGCTCGGACCCTATAGTACCACGAGGCGCTGTCTGCGAGTCAGGTTGTTTGGGAATGTAGCCCTAATCAGGCGGTAAATTTCATCCAAGGCTAAATACGGGCGAGAGATCGATAGCGAACAAGTACAGCAGGGAAAGATGAAAAAGACTTTGAAAAGAGAGTCAAAAAGTGCTTGAAATTGTCAGGAGGGAAGTAGATGGGGGCTGGCGATGCACCCCGATCGGATGTGGAATGACGAAAGCTGGTCCACCAATTGGCTAAGGGCATGGATCGACACGGGTCGCGGCGGTAGCCCAAGCCTGAGCTTTCGATGTGCCCATGGAGATGTCATCGCCACGATCGTGGAACGCAGCACACGCCGTCTTGGTGTGCCCCGGCACCAGCATGCTCCAAGCGTTGGCTTGCGGGCTCCCCATCCGGCCCGTCTTGAAACACAGACTAAAGAGTCTGACATGTGTGTGAGTCAATGGACCAGAAAACCCGTAAGATGCAAGGAAGCTGATTGGTAGGATCCCTCGCGGGTGCACTACCGATCGACCTTGATCTTCTAAGAAGGGTTCGAGTGCGAGCATGCCCGTCAGGACCCGAAAGATGGTGAACTATGCCTGAACGGAGCGAAGCTAGAGGAAACTCTGAAGGAGGCCCACAACGATACTGACGTGTAAATCGTTCATCTGACTTGGGTATAGGGGCGAAAGACTAATCGAACCGTCTAGTAGCTGGTTTCTTCCAAAGTTTCCCTCAGGATAGTTGAAGCCCCCGTCGAGTTCTATCGGGTAAAGCCAATGATTAGAGGCATCAGGGGTGCAACGCCCTCGACCTATTCTCAAACTTTAAATAGGTAGGACAGCACAGTTGCTCCGTTGAGTCATGCCACAGAATCGAGAGCTCCAAGTGGGCCATTTTTGGTAAGCAGAACTAGCGATGCGAGATGAACTGAAAGCCAGGTTACGGTGCCTAACAACGTGTTAACCCAGAACCAATAAAGGGTGTTGGTTGATTAAGACAGTAGGATGGTGGTCATGGAAGTCGAAATCCACTAAGGAGTGTGTAACAACTCACTTGCCGAATCAACTAGCCCCAAAAATGGATGGCACTTAAGCACACGACCTATACCCAACCATCGAGGCAAGGGCCAGGCCTCGATGAGTAGGAGGGCACGATGGTCACCCTAAAACCTGGGGCGCGAGCTCGGGCTGAGCGGTCATCGATGCAGATCTTGGTGGTAGTAGCAAATAATCAAATGAGAACTTTGAAGGCTGAAGAGGGAAAGGTTCCATGTGAATGGCACTTACACATGGGTTAGTCGATCCTAAGAGACGGGGGAAGCCCGTCCGATAGCGCGTCCCGTGTGAGCTTTGAAAGGTAATCCGGTTAAAATTCTTGAACTAGGACGTGACGGTTGAAGGCAACATTAGGGAGTCCGGAGACGTCGGTGGAGGCCTTAGAAAAAGTTATTTTTTCTGTTTAACGGCCCGTCCACCCTGGAAATGGCTCAGCCGGAGGTAGGGCCCAGCAGCTGGAAGATCACCGCACGTCGCGTGGTATCCGGTGCGCCCTCGACGGCCCTTGAAAATCTAGAGGACCGAGTGCTGTCCACTTCCGATCATACTCATAACCATATTAGGTCTCTAAAGTGAACAACCTTTAGTCGATGGAACAATGTAGGTAAGAGAAGTCGGCAAAATGGATTCGTAACCTCAGAAAAAGGATTGGCTCTGAGGGCTAGGCACAGGGTCCTAGTCCCGAACCCATCGGCTATCCGTGCACTACTCGAGCTACTTTCATTGCTAGAGTGGGTCATCGCGTGCCTACCGGGGGACGAACTGGGAATACCTCCCTCGAGGGCCTTCCTCGAGCGACAAACAGTCGACGCAGAATTGGTATAGATAAGGGGAATCCGATTGTTTAATTAAAACAAAGCATTGCGATGGTCCCTGCGGATGCTCACGTAATGTGATTTCTGCCCAGTGCTCTGAATGTCAAAGTGAAGAAATTCAACCAAGCGCGGGTAAACGGCAAGAGTAACTATGACTCTCTTAAGGTAGCCAAATGCCTCGTCATGTAATTAGTGACGCGTATGAATGGATTAACGAGATTCCCACTGTCCCTGTCTACTATCCAGTGAAACAATAGCCAAGGGAACGGGCTTAGCAGAATCAATGGGGAAAGAAGACCCTATTGAGCTTGACTCTAGTCTGACTTTGTGAAATGACTTGAGAGGTGTAGGATAAGTGGAAGCCTCCAGGCGAAATTGAAATACCACTACTTTTAACATTATTTTACTTATTCCATGAATCGGAGGTGGGGCACGACCCTTCTTTCGGACCCAAGGCCGATCTCAGTCGATCGATCCGGGCGAAAGACATTGTCAGGTGGGGAGTTTGGCTAGGGTGGCACATCTGTTAAAAGAAAACGTAGGTGTCCTAAAAGGAGCTCAACGAGAATAGAAATCTCGTGTGGAATAAAAGGGTAAAAACTCATTTGATTTTGATTTCCAGTACGAATACAAACCGTGAAAGCATGGCCTATCGATCCTTTAGACTTTCAAGATTTGAAGCTAGAGGTGTCAGAAAAGTTACCACAGGGATAATTGGCTTGTGGCAACCAAGCGTTCATAGCGACGTTACTTTTTGATCCTTTGATGTCGGCTTTTCCTATCATTGTGAAGCAGAATTCACCAAGTATTGGATTGTTCACCCACCAATAGGGAACGTGAGCTGGGTTTAGACCGTCATGAGACAAGTTAGTTTTTCCCTACTGATGGCAGCGTCATGATTGTAATTCAACCTAGTACGAGAGGAACCATTGATTTGCACAATTGGTCATCGTGCTTGGTTGAAAAGCCAGTGGCGTGAAGCTACCATGCATTGGATTATGACTGAATCCCTCTAAGTCAGAATCTGGACTAGAAGTGACGCGCGCGCCCGTCGCTCGATTGTCGACCCGTAGTAAGGGCCCATGGCCCCTAAGGGCACGTGTCGTAGGTGCAGCCCCCACGGCGGATGAGCCGCGCAGGCCTCCTTGGAGTACAATTCCCATCGAGTGACGGGTAGAATCCTTTGCAGATGACTTAAATACGTAACGGGGTATTGTAAGTGGCAGAGTGGCCTTGTTGCCACGATCCATTGAGCTTCAGCCCTTTGTTGCTTCGATTCGTCCCTCCCCCCGTCGACCCTCATTCTTTTTACGCCGCCCCCTTCTGGTGTTGGGCGTGACCCGAGGCCCCCCATCCATCGATCCCGATTGGGAACGAACTCTGCTCGCTTTGGTCCACCCCCGCATCGAGCGTGCGGGCACCGAATCGTCCGCTGGGGGTGGGATACGCTAGCCGACCAAGGATCCCGCTACTGGTCCCCCTTGGTTGTTGCCCTAAAGGCTGTCAATAGCCTCTGGCCCTTGGTTGGTCGAGATCAGGAATGCACTACGTATGCCTAAATCAAACCATGAAATGAGCGTGCGGGCGCTCAGTTGATCGGAGAGCCAAAATGCATAAGTCGAGGATCGACCCGGTCCCCCTCTGCGTGCTACCGATCCAGTTGTCGGCCCCTTGGTTCGGCTAGGGCTTAAATCAGGAATAAACCTCGAATGCCTAAGTCAACCCCTGAAATGAGCATGCGGGCGCTGAGCGGGCCAGAGGGGCAGGATGCGCAAGCTGGGGATCGGCCCGGTCCCCCTCTGCGTGCTGCTGTCGATCCGACTGCCTGTCCGATCTTAGACTGGGAATGAACTCCGTATGCTTAGACTAGGAATGAACTTTGTTTACCTAAGTCAAACCATGAAACAAGCGTGCGGGTGCTCAGTCGGTCGGAGAGGCATAATGCACAAGCCAGAGATCTGTCCGATCCCCCTCTACGTGCTACTGATCCCGCTGCCAGTCCAGCTGCCACAACCCTCGGTCCGACTGGGACTTAGACATGGAATGAACTTCGTATGCCTAAGCCAACCCATAAAATGATTGTACGGGTGCTCAGCCGACCGGAGAGGCAGGATGCTCAGGCTTGGGATCAGCTCGGTCCCCCTCTACGTGCTGCTGTCGATCCCGCTGTCGGTTCGATCTTAGACTGGGAATGAACTCCGTATGCTTAGACTGGGAATGAACTCCGTATGCCTAAGTCAACCCATGAAACGAGCATACGGGCGTTGAGCTGGTCGGAGAGGCATAATACGCAAGCTGAGGATCGGTCCGATCCCCTTCTATATGTTGAGAATCCCGCTACCGATCGAGCTACCACAAACCTTGGTTCACCTGGGGCTTAGACACGGAATGAACTTCGTATGCCTAAGTTAACCCACGAAACGAACAGGCGGGCACTACGTCGGCCAGAGAGGCGGGATGCACAAGCCATGGATCTATCGGGTAGTAGGTGGGTTTAGGCACATCTTCATATTTCTGCGATTCCAATGCCATTTTTATGGCTTGTAAATTCATACAATGGTCTCCTAAGCCTTCATGTGAAGTTTCTTGGCAAGATGACTCGTTTTCTATTTTTCACGATTTTTAAAACTTTTTACGGTTTGGGATTTTTTAAAATTATTTTAGAAGGAGTTTTAGCCCCAAATTTTGTAGACATGATCCTTCTATTTTTTTTGGCATGCACAAAAACATTCAGCTAAAAACTCGAAGTGCAGAAGATTTTGTGACCATTTCAGATACTTGAATGGCTACTGGCAGCAAACCTGTAAAATCTTAAATGCTCTTTAAGGGGGTGTGAGTTCTTGAGGTTTGATGAGGGATAGGGGGCCAATATAAGGGCCAAGTACCAGCACCCATCGCACATCATGTGCGTACACCCCCCGGCCCCCCAATCATCGGAATGCTAATGCCATCGGTCAGGTTCTCCGGTCATGCTCTGACGATGCTGCCCCGAGCAAAAAAAATACGGCACCAGCACATGCCCGAGCCCAAGATGTGCACCGTGGCTCAAAATCAAACTTCGACCAAGGCTTCAAGCATCAATGGCATATGATGGCGCATGGTGATGGCACATAAATCGACCATCATCGGCACAGGCTGCCCTTTGGTACGGGCACTTGCCTCGACCGCCATCAGCATAAGATAGGCCTTGGTGTAGGCGGTTACCTTGATCACCATTGGCACGTGCTGGCCCTTGGTGCGGGTGGTTACCTCGACCACCATCGGCAGAAGATAGGCCCTGGTGTGGGCGGTTGCCTCGAGCACCATTGGCACATGCTGGGCCTTGGTGCAGGCGGTTGCCTTGATCACCATCGGCACATGCTAGGCCCTGGTGCGGGTAGTTGCCTCGAACACCATAGGCACATGCTGGGC